CTGTAGATTTGGATTAACTTTAATCCGGAATAAACATTTATGACACGTACAAAAGACGCCTTTGGAGTACCGATATGACACTCGTGACGATCATTAATGATACGTTGCTTTGCGGTGAATTTAGAGGCATTTAGCATCAGAGCCAATCCTCAGGGAAAACGCTTTCTAATGGATAACCGTTGAATAGAGGCCGCTTGATGTGAGATACCTACATAAGTCATGGAACAAATGATACACCTAAGAATTTTACTAGTGTGTTTCTATTGCTGAACTTGTTTTTTGCAGTCTGCGTGTTCTTGCACGTGATGAAGACTTCATTATACAAACTGCAGAATTGCTCTCCGGGTATATGGAGTAAAACTAGTGGCACTTAATGATACTTCCTCCAACTGGTATCCATGCCTCTTACTTTTCATTTAGAGCATCAGTATCGTGTCAGCTAGTAGGTTTTACATGAAAGAGTTACGTTTCCATACAGCTTCCTGAGTGTGTCATGCTTCTAAATTGCATCGAGGTGTAATAAAAGTGTTAATGGCGATGCTCTGTTGGGGAGTTTCAGAATACCTTTAGTTCACAATGAAGCTATTGGTTTAAAGTTACTTAGTACTGCATCACGATTGCCAGTATTAAGGATGAAACATGCTGTCCTTTTGTAATGGAATAATTCTGTATCACTGGGTCTCTGTTGCAGTTACTGCTGTACTGTCGCTTCTTGCTCTGGTAGGTTTGCAGTATGATACAGTGGTCTGAGAAATGTCAGTTTCAGTATCTTGGGTAGCAGGTTTTATAAGGCCTTATTTAACTTTTCAAGAGCTTCCATTCTACATAGCTAAGGCCCACTGCACCCCAGTTGGCTAGTATGCCACTCAGAATCGAAGAAAAGTGGCCATCTCCGTTTAAGTCTTCCATGAATTGTGAAGTGCAGATTCATTATTTTCCATTTTTCCAGTGTTTCTATTTTCCGAGACAATAATTTTGGATTCGATTAGGGTAGAGGCGCGGTCCCTGCACTAGGACGTCCTCGACACTTCTTTTTACCCACCTGGCTTGTCTTTTATTGTCACATATGTATCCCAAAATAGTCAGTCGTCTGGTTAATCTATTAAAATGTCATTGATAGAACCATTCAACCCATGGGTAAAAGACATTTAGTTGAATGCCTGCACAGTCAGAGTATTGGAAATTAAGGAAAAGTTAGTATTTGACTGGGAGTTTGAGGATCTCATGTAGAACATAGTTAAGATCATCAGGAAATATTTTTCCAGTGTCATAGCTCACCGACTACAGCGCTTTCTGCTTCAAGTATCTAGAGCTCATTAATGTTTGTCTAGTTTATTGTTTAGTTCAGTGGTAGTATTTCTATCAATACATGTTTAGTATATTTTCATTTGTAAAGATAATTCCCATAACTATCCTATCTTTCAAATAAAATGTGTTCATACTGAGAAACTGCCAGGATACAAAAAAAGTACATAGATGAAAGTCTGCATCCATCCCATAGCGACCATTTCTTGCAATCCGATGTTATGCCTCCACTCAAGGAGTGGCAGGAGGTAGTGTTCCATTTATTGCAGAGTATGCAGATTTCACACTGGGTGTTTGTTTGTTGAAAAAAATTCTGTTGCGTCAACATCTGAGGCCATTAGGGATGTATATAAAATATAGCGATAGGGTGCGGCTTGGGGGTGAAGCCTCCAGATAAGGAATTTTTTTGTGGATTTCCAGTAATGGTTAAAACAAATAGATGTGCTGGACATCAAAGTTCATATAACATTATGATAAAGCATTGTGGCGAAAATGGTAAAAATGAGTTAACAATCAAGTTCAGTGGACAGAAGGGGATGAAGAAAAGAAGGAAAAGGAAAGGAAAAGAAAAGACCGTGCAAAATTAATTGAGGCGAGGGCTAAGATCCAAGGCAGGGGTGATCCCCTACATTGGACCTCCCTCCCCGTTTCCTAAGCCCCCATAACAACAACGAGCAAGGGATGGGGGGGGAGGGGGGCACTGGGTTAGCCACATACAAAGAAGGTGAACAATGACAAAACTATGGTGTCTTTGCTGACAGCCTGGGTACATTTATAGACTTTCTGCATTTTAAGACAGCCTGGTGTCTAGAAATATCCAATACTATTTTTTCCAACTTTTTAGATCAAGAAATTATTTCTTTACTAATGGATACCCATCATATTGAGATCTCTTCTTAAAACAAGGATGGTCGACAAGCCATACCATGCAGTATCATTATTTCTTTATCAAGTTTTTGACAACATAAATAGACTTTGAAAAGCAAGAAGAGTGATAAGCATGACACTTTGAGAGTATTGCTGGTGCACCTGATTTAACGAAAACCTAAAGGTGGAGGCTGCCGTTTATATAATCAACATTATCATATTATTATATTACTGTTATTATCATCCTCATACTGTATTATATTATTGTCATTACATTATTATCAATGCATTGGATAGCAATGCACTACTCAATATGTACCGAGTGTGGTCTTGGAGGCAAAGTTAAATCGCCAAAGGTCCTTAAAACAGCTTTATGCAGAAAGTAGCATAGCTAGGTATCTGCTTAAAGGGTACAGCTGAGGGGGCACTGGACAAGTGGAGCTAAGGAGGATACTGATGCTACAGATGGGTTATTAAGGTATATTCTAAGACTAAATCAGATGTGAATATCAGGGCATTATCTAGTTAATATAAAGATACTGAATGCAACAATAAGTATGGAAATTGAATACATTGTGATTAAACAGAAAGAATATTACAGTGGGAGGCACACTGAATTCTCATTGGGAGCACAGGCCAGTATACCCCCGATAACTACTGCCCAGAAAGTATTATTCAATTTGGTATAATGATTTGTTGATAAGCATTATAGTTTCTGTGATATTATTATAGATTTTCATGACTTTCAATTGGAACACTTCCGTATGAATACTAGGTAAAATAAAATCTGATTTCAAGCAAATTTTTATTTAATCAAGCATCAAGAAAATATATAAACATTAATTAAACTATGCATATAACCTATAAATATCAAAACAACACCATCCTAATGCATGAAGCAACACTCTGTATTATATGAATTAACAATATATGGAAACTAATTATAGGAGACACATGGAGTAGGATACTAGAACTATCAAGTATAGAGTACAATACAACATGCAATAACTACATTTGCATGAGCACATCTTGGGTGATAGCAGTAAACTATGTAGGACAACACTTCACTACATATTAAAGATGTACAGTATGCATAGCAGTCATGTTTTAGTGAGTTGAAAACAGAATATCATTCATAGTATTATAATTTTATTCCTGACATGATCTTTGCAACAAGTAATCTGCTTTCATCCACTTAAACACATATATTTCGTCATGTAAGCTACAGCACAGTCTATATAAGCTCCTTCACAACAGCTCTGAATTTATCTAATCAATGCAGTAACTGAAAACTACAAAAAAGGAGTAATTTTAACAAAAGAAAAAGTACAACCAAGAAAATGAAATACTAAATAAAATAAACTAAATAGAATATCAAGAGAGCAACAACAAACATAGACAAAACTAACACAGCAGAAAGTTTCTGTGTGTTTAAATGATGAGGCTTGATGACTTCTTCTGGAAAAAAGAGAGTGGTCGATTCCCTCCTTTGTCTCTCTGAGTGTGGGGTTAAAACTGAGTGACTTGCCCTATCCTCCACTGAGGAAAACTCACCATCTGGTCTTTGCGTGTATGGATTTATGAAAGTTACAGACTCTGACAGTCTCTGTGCCCTGTATGGAACAGGTTTAGACATCTCATAATATCTTCCTGACATTCTACCTGGCTCTGGTAGATCCTTCCACGGAACAGGTGGTCTTCCTGGCCTTGATGGATATGAATCACGTCTCGTCGATGGACCAGGCACAGCAGGGTCATCAATCTCAGGAACAGGTGGTAGAGGCATCTGTGGCGGTGGTGGAAGATTAAGCATTGAGGAGCGATTCATTTGATACAACCCTGTTGGGGGATCCAGATGATAACTAAAACCCAGTTTCTTCCCCCTGTTTATGTTATCCATTTTCAGTAAAACTGGATTCACAGTTTCCTCCCGTGACTGACTTCTCAACGAATATGGATCGTACTGCCACTGTCTGCCTTCTCTTGCCATAGCTTTATGTATCTCTTGAGATACAGGGGTAAACCTTTTCTGCTGCCAGAATTCCTTCTCCATCCCAGAATGGCTGGTCTGGAAGATCTTTGGCATAGGAAACTCAACATCATGTTGCCTAACATTCTTTTGAGCAAGTTTATGGTGACTCTTAGCATGGCTGGTCAGGAGGGCTACTATGGATGGCACCCTCCCCTGGTACTTTTTGAAACCTGATTTTGTGGGCTGATACACCCCTGACACACTGACAGGTCCTCTTGAAGTAGGGTATGACAGGCGCCCGTCTGGTCGCTCACGCATAACACTTTTCCCTAGAAACCAGGGTGTCTTCATACTCATCTTGGGCTCTTCATTTCTTGAATATAAGAACTCCGGGCTACTCCACATCGCATGTCGTCTGATTCGGTCATCAACAGTCCAAACTGTGAGACAATTTTCCGGGAGCTGCTGTGGCTTACACAGAAGAGCCATAGAAAAGTTGACGTCGGTTTGGTAACACATTGAATTAATAATAGTTTTCTGAGTACTAAAAAAGTTTGGAGGTTCATTGAATACAACATTGCGAGGAACATAACAAATAACTGTATTGCCTACATCCACTTCTTTAACAAACGAGCTTAAGGGATCTGCATACTTTGTTGTGATAACAATCCTGCTGGTCTGTGGAGCTGGCTGCTGCAGACTTGTTGTACATGCCGGGTCTGGGATTGCAGATGGCTGCTCTTCTGGAAGACTTAATCTCCGGTGAAGCCTACTGCTATCTAAGGGATATTGTGTGCTTGTTTGGGATGTCTGGAGCCATGAGTCACTGGCTTGGTGTGTGTGGGACAAACATGAGGGTGTTTCTGCAAGTGTTGATGTATGTTCGTGGAGTGGTGTGTCTAGTGCACGGATGGTGGCGTAGCCCGGATCTCTTCACATGCCGGTCATGCTGGAGCGCCTCAGACCCCGTTCTATACGATCCATCTCCCACAGTACCTAAAATAAAGAAATAAAGAATAAATAATTACTTAATGCATAAAAACGTCACCTACACTGCAAACTACAATAGCAAACTTTTCTTTTCACTTCAGTGCTGAACATCTATTGCATCATGAAAATCCCTTCTACTATGAAGGCTCACCTCAAGCACACATCCTGTACTCCATGCCTGGGCTGGATTGGAATCTTTACAGTGTGCACCATTAGTATTAGTTAGCTCAGGTAGTGATCGCCAGGCATCAGATAGAACATGGGTCAGGTGAGGAGCAAGAAGTGATTTCACGTGACCCATGGTGCGACCCAATTCTTCAAAGCCTCCAACCTTGGGAGCAACAGCTAACTGGGCACGAAGAAGCCATCCCACTGGCCATACCCATTCCTGAAAAAGTTGAAAGACCGTGTTACATACTTAAATATACCTATTTCCTAGCATTGTCTTGTCTTTTCTCATTTCTTTTCAAAGAAAAGGAAACCCAGGCCTGTAACATAAATACCAAGTGTCAAATACTTCAGTCTCATGTAAGCATAAAGTTATTACTAATAAGCAAAAAATCTCTAAAAGACTATAGTTAACAAATGTGAAAATAGCACAAACACAGTAATGTGTACATAAAGGTAAAAAGGAAACAGCCAAAATAAGAAATGAAATATCTTTTCTTATTGTGGCCGATTCCTTTCTGTGAGAATAAAACTTTTGAGGGAACTGAATAATAGTTTTGTAAGCTAGTGTTTATTTCAACTTACTGGTCCTTGATGGTAGTTGTATCCCCGGGCAATCTTAGGGTCTGCTGAATCATTTGAGTTGTCGTAGTCACCATTATATGCCCAGTCACTGGGATCCAGTGTCTTTATTCCAAGTGGACCTAACAGGATCTTCTCTGCATTTTTCAAGGCTATCCACGCATGTTTGGGAGTGAACATCTCTGGGGCCTGAAACAACATATTGTTTTATCACATCTTTGCCATTGCTGACAGAACCTTATAAAATGCAAATTATATCTTTTGAATCTGATCCTAGAGTAACTCACCACAGCAACTGCAACAGGGAAATTGCAACGCAGTTGGTAATCTGCCCAGAACTGAGAGGCATTGTATGAGTCTTTGTAAATGCCCCTTCGGTTGATAAGTTCTGGCTTGGGTTCCCTGTCAGGAATTGGATTTTCATCTATCCAGTAGTACTTCTCAAAGTTCTCTTGAATTTTCTTTTCCCAGAATTCATATGTCCACTTTGTGACATTACCTGAAAAATGGGAGTAAGTTAATCATAAAAAAATATATATAAACAAAACAAATATCGTTCAAATTCACATCAAGCCAGGCAATTCATTTCACCATCAAGTAGTGTACCTGTGTCATCGTATCTTTCTACGCTGTTGTATTTGAATTTGTCTTCACGATACATCTGACCCAGGAAGCGAAGAGCAGATTTGCACAGGCCTACAATTTCTACAGCACTACCATCTCTTGGTGTTGCTGGTTTGCCTTTGATTCCTGCCAGCTCACTTGATCCCATTTTGTCCATCCATGTACCGCAGTTGTGAACCGTTCCACCATACACAAAACCTTAAAAAGATTGTTTCCGTTTATTATTCAAGACTCAGATATGCACTGTCACATATGGCTAAATCACATGCAGACTACTTCCTCTTTTCTAAATTTTAGTATCTACTGTTAGGCTTTCATATACATGGGCAAGAATCACTGTTATACCTGTTTCCAAACTGACTCCAATCTCGTTGTTGAAACCTTCGTCGCACATCTCCCTGTCAATCTGGTAACCAGCATTCCTCTCACGGAACTTCACTCCCTGGAAGTGGCGCTGCAGGGTCTCCTGAATCACATCCTCTAACAACTGATCCTGAAAGAGACAAAAATTATTCTGTAAAATGATGGACAATTTCTGGTACTGTGATATCTTACAGGCTAGAGAAATTTTTTGACATGATTGGGGTCAGAGAGTCTTCACTTTGATACAAGTGTGGGACACATGATAAGGAAAAATAATTCCTATTCTAGACATCTTTTCCTTGATAACTGCAAGGAAACACTATAAGAACTCACACACACACAGAATCTGTTCTTGAGCATGTTTCTGACAATATTCATGAAAATACTTTCCACTCTAATATACTTACATGTCTGCCTGGTTCTTGTTGTGGTGAGTCATCAGAGGGGAAGAGACGAGACACTTTGTCCCTGAAGATGCGATTGCCATCAGGAACAATGGCCACATACCTGGAAACAATTATTTTTGTAATCAGCAGTTTAACACTAACAATTATAGTGTCATAAACCAAGAGGACAATTATGAAAAAGATTTAATTCCAATTCCAATTTAGATAAGCTTTGGAAAAAGA